CCAACCATAACATTATTTTCGTTGCTACTTCATCACTGTCATTTTGCTACTGTGATGAATCGGGCGACTGCTGTGAAAGGGTCGTTCGACCCCCAAAGGGGTCGCGACCCTCAGGTTGAGAACCGCTGTTAAAAATATTTTTATCAAAGAAATAAAGTTCTTGTTCTCCAGTAAGTAAGAGTAGGTAGGACCCTTGGAGAAGAATTAGTCCAATCTCTCAGTTGAAACAAATGCCCAGCAAAGTGGCATGATTAGCCCGTGGCTCGCATCAGGGGACAGCAGAGCCAGGGCCAGACGCCAGTCAATGGTGTTCCTTTCCCATGCCCACCGAGCCCTAAACTCCGGTTGCATCAGGACGCTGAAGACTGCCCAGGCTACCGTGCAGCCAGTGGCTGCGTGTGCAGCCTTGGGCTAAGCCCGTCATCTGTCTGCGCCTCATTCTCCCAAAGCGTAAAACGGGACCCATGAGAACCCCCAGGTCACAAGGTAACCACAGGCTGGAGCGCACCAAGGAGCTGGCAAATGCACGGTGCTCTGTAGACCGCGCGTGGCTCTGACTCCTCGGGACCAGCAGGCCTGGGGGTCTTGCCGAGGGCTTCTCTCTACTCAGACAACGTGCCCGGGAGCCTCGTGAGCGCAGCCAGGTGAGGGGTCACCAAAGATCTAGGGGAACTTGGTCCATAAAAGGTGTGGCCTGGGCAAAGCAAGAGCAAAATGGGCGGGCAAGGCCTGGGGCCAAGGATGAAGACAGCTTGCTGGCCAGGAGGGTTGCAGAAGTCAGGGAAAAAGGGGGCGAGACAGAGGGGAAGGGAGTGCGTCAGCAGACCCTGAAAGAGGAAGTTTGCCCAGTCTCAGTTCCGCTCCTAAGGATGGGAAATACCCAGCAGTCTCCCAGCCCTCAGCAGCTGGCCCTGTCTCTTCACCTGAGAAACCTTCCCCAGCACCGGCCTGAGCTTCTGCATCTGCTGGCCTTGGGCCGGGGACCGGGCAGAGAGAGAGAGAGAGAGAGAGAGAGAGAGTGTGTGTCAGGAGGTCTAACGACAAGTTTCAGTAGTATCAGGGACCCCTGCTCAGGCCCTATTGATTGACAGTTGTCCCCAGGAGTTCTGTTTCTCTGGATGGAACCACACTGCCCTGAGCACCTCGTTACGAAGCCGGCATACTTCCTAAGGGTGGGTGTGACCACCAGTCCACAGGGTCTGGGCTGGAGGAAGAAATGATGACTCACAGAAGATTCTTTTTACAGTCCTCCGAACCACTTCTGATTCTTAACTTCCTTTGTGTATCATCTGTGTTTTCTTGCGCCTCCCCTAGCTTCCTCCCACTGGGCCGGGCCCACTGTGTACGCCACAGGGCAGTGTGCACGGGCGAGGCAGAGACTAGCTGAGTGTAACACCCACCCTGCCTTCTCATCACAGGAGACTGCGAACCAGAGCCTTCTCCTAGATTGTGCTCGGAGGGGCCCACCCATCACAGTTGGGAGGGGGCCATGCTGCTGAGGGAACAAGGCTGATCAGCAGCAGAACAGAACCAGCCCCAGGTGGGCAGCAGGGGCGTGTCAGGGAGTGAAAATGCTGCAGACCAATTTCAGACGTGGGGGAAGCAGTGTGGACCCAACTTCAGTCTTCAGCTTGCAGAGGGACGTTGGCTCCTGCCCGGTGGGTAGAAATCCACATCTGGGACCACTGTTCCCACATGGCTTTGCCTTACTGAAGACACTCTTGGTTTCCCAGCCTGTGGTGTGGCCTTGAAAGGAAACATGACTGAGGTACCTAACGGAGAGCTTGCCTCTGGAGTGAGGCGTCCTGGGCTGAGCTGGGCAGGGCCTTGCTCTTCTGATCACCCCTCCTGTGGCCTCAGATCCTCCTGAGAATCAGTCCTTCCTCCCCAAGGGACGGCGGTCTGTTTTTTTCCTGTGAAGAAATTCCTAGGGATCCTCCTATGGCGGGGGTGGGGGGCAGAAGCCTGGCTCTCCCCAGTCCTCTCCTGTATGCACTGATGGTGCATCCAGAGAAGCTCCCTGGTTCTCCACTCCAAAGGGATGGCTTCAGCCCTGGAAGACAAGGAATCGTTGAGCCCAGAGCCTCATCCTATAAAAACAGGAAAGAGAGGGTGAGGCTTTGTCAGCATTCTTCTAGAGCAATGGTTCTCAACCTTCCTCATACCATGACCCTTTCATACAGTTCCTCATGTTGTGGTGACAGCCCCCCTCCAACCATCAAATTATTTTCGTTGCTACTTTATCACTGTCATTTTGCTACTGTGATAAATCGGGTGACCTCTGTGAACAGTCCATTCGACCCCCAAAGGGGTCACGACCCACAGGTTGAGAACTGCTGCTCTAAACCATCTCATTGATGGAGACTGCCCCTAGGCCTCAGGGACAGGCAGGGGTAGAAACGCAAGAGAAGTGGGGTGGGATGTCTTGTAGTGAGAAGATGAAAAATATACAGGGGAGGGGTAGGAGTATTTGGGGCTACAGGAAGGAGGAAATGTCTAGATGGGGAGAGGCCACTGAGATGTGGAAAGGGGAAGGTCTTAAGGGGTTGAAGGAGGGTGACCGTGAAGCAGGGAAGAATCCTGGGCTTGGAGATTTCAGAAACCTCCACTCTGCTGTGATGCTCCTTGAGGGGGTGGTCAGCTAAAAAGGTATGTTCTAGAAACTTCTGTCTGAGAAGAAATAGAAACCTCCTCTGGAAAGAGAGGTGGAGCATGGATTGGGTCACACGCTGAGACCTCCTCCTATAGCACATGCATCCCAGAAGGCAGGACGGAGCCAAATAACCTCTCTGGGTCCTGGGCAGGTACTAGGGCAGCGCCTGGGTGCCTGGACTGTCACGGGGCTTTACTCGGGCATCAGTCTTGCTCAGGAACTCACCAACCTCCCCACTGACCCAGTGGTGGGGTTCAGCTGGTTCCCATTGGTTTGGCAGATCCTGTACCTAAGTTTTTTTGTTGTTGAGTTTGGCTGTTAAAATGACACTTGTAATCAGAGTTCTCTCTAAGGTGGGCATCCGGGCAGCCCCCCAATGTGGAAATCACAAATTTACATTCCTTACTCTTTTTAACCCTCATCTGCTCAACAGCGTATTCTAAGCACCCATGGTAATCTTCATTCTATCCATAGGTGTAAGAAAACAGAAAGAGCACGGGTGTCACTATGCTTATTTATATTTCATAGATAATTTTGAAGAAAGGCTACTCCTTTAGTCCCTTGCGTTTGTTTGAGCCCTGTGTCACACCCCAAATTCCCACGAGGTGTTATGAGTGAATTATGCCATTCCCAAAAGTGTTCAAAGAGCTAAAAATATTGTCAGAACAATCGCTGTACATTCAGCAAAAGCAGAAAGGAGTTTTTCAGAGATGAACACAATATGTTCAGAGAAGCCGTCTGTTTCTTACACAGTAAGCACAATGGCTATTGTCTACTTGGCCTGGTTCTAAAGGGAAGGGATCCTACTCTGGCAGCTGGTGACAAGCTGGCCGAGGATAAATCACACAGCTGGTGATGCTCAGATAAAAGCAGAGAATATTGTACATGAGGATGCCAAACAGCAAACAAGCCAAGATGAGATACCAAGAGGCAGAAATAAGGGGAAAGTGGCAGTGAGGCAGGAGGCAGAGGAAGGACCAAGGAAACAAAGCAATAAACACAGCAGTATAAACACAGCAGTGTACATCTGTAAATACATTAATCCACAGAAATAGAGGTATTGGCCCATGTACATATATTTACATGGCAATACACGGAGGCAGGGGATGGACTTTGGGCCTCTGCTCATACCCTCCCTCAATACAAGAACACTGTTCTAACCAAGCAGACGTCTGAGATGTTCACCCTCCTGACACAATCGCTGAAGACAAAACAGGTGCACAAGAAAATGTGGTGAATGGTGCCCGGTTATTAAAAGATATAGTGTCTGGGGTGTTAAAGGTTTGAAGTTACACAAGCCGCCATTTGGCAGTGAAGCAACAAGCCCATAGGGAAGGAGCCCACCACCGGTGCGATCATGAGGAGTCACAGGGACTGGGTAATAGGCATCAGCAGACACGTAACAAACAAAAACATATTGTTGAGAACAAGGGGGGCTGGAGCGGAGATCCAAAGCCCATCTGTAGACAGTGGAACAATCTCCCCACAGAGGGCCCACAGGGAAGGGATGAGTCACCAGGGTGCAGTAAAGCATCAATGAAACACACTATATTCCTCTGGTTCCCTGAGGCTTCCTCACCCCCCACTACCATGACCCCAGTGCTGCTTCCCAGTTCAGACGAGACCGGAGCATGTACACAGGTCTAGAATGGGGTGGGAGCTCACGACACACAGACTCCAGGAGTGGGAATGGTGAAGCTGGAAGGGCAGGGGGAAGTGGAGGAGAGGAAGGGAGAAAGTGGGAACTGATCTCAATGATGGACACATAACCACACACCCCTCTACAGGGGGAAGAACAACAGAAAGCCTGGGGGAAGGGAGACAGCGGTCAATGCGAGAGATGAAAATAATAACAATGTACAATCTATCGGGGGTATGAGGATGGGGGGAGGGGGGAGGGCTGGTGCCGAGGGCGCAATAGAAAGTAAATGTCTAGAAGAGAATGAGGGCAACATCTGTACAAACCTGCCTGATTCAATTGATGTGTGGATTGTGATAAGAGTTGTACGAACCCCCAATAAAATGATTTTTAAAAAGAAAAAGGACATGATGATGGCAACATATGTACAAATGTGCTTAACACAATGGGTGTATATGTATGGTTTGTGCTAAGAGCTGTACGGGCTCCAATAAAATGATCAAGAAAAGAAAAAAAAACAAGAAGCAACATGGAAGAATCTTAAGTAACAGTGTTATTGTTTTTCAGGCAGGTTTAATATTTTTCATCATCATTTAAAAACTCTTTCTTATAACAATCTAGCTTTGTGTACCTCTTAAACTGTCTTTTGGTCACGCATTGCGTTGTAACCTTTTTTTATACTTACTCATCAAACGGTCATGAGGGCAGTGCATTTAACAGGTTGTTCAGTGATCTTAACCCCGCAAGTGCACGCTCGTCTCTGGGGCTACAGAAGCCTGTGGCTCCCCCTCAGACAGGCCTGTCTGAGAACTTCATGTAGCTGCCATCGGGAATGCTGATGTGGCCGCTGATGGTGAAGGGTGGACCCGCCTCCAGCTCCTTCAGGTTCCTGGGAAAGAGCATGAGTCAAGCTGGGCGAGCTGAGGGCTTAGACTCTCCCTAGAGCATGAGATGACCCCTGGGGCAGAGGGGGAATCGGTTGATGACTGTCTGGTTGGTGGAGCTCCCAGAACAGGGGTTACTCCATCTCTCTGAGGCAGAGGAGCAGGCCTGCCTCATAGCAGAATAGACCAGATGGGCATCCCCAGGAGCTTTTTCTGATTCATGCTGCTGGCTCCCTGAATTCTTTAATCATCCTTATCCACCCCCCTCTCTCCTGACACCACCTCGTGCCTGAAATGACATTATTAGTATTCAGACCCATCTCTGCCACCGACAGTGAATTGCTTGTAGACAAAGGATGTATATCTTTTGATGCCCCGCCCCCCCCTCACCAAAGACTAACACCATGGTACCTCCTGCCATACATTTGTACTGAATAAATGGTGAACGGATGAGAGTGGCTGAGTGGTCCCTGCCTGAGGCGGGAGGTTAGGAGGATCCCTGCCATCACGCTCTCTTGGCCATGCCTGTGTTCCAGGGTTTTCTAGACAGACTCTGTGACTCCTCCCTTTACTGCTATTTGCATGGGGAGGACCTAAGGCAGGGAAGTGCTACGATCTGACTCAGTCTGTGATTTGCTCTCAGTTCTACCCAGCCCTCCTGCCAGCCCCAATCCACATCTGATCCCTGGATCTACTCACCGGATCTGGTACAAGTTGAAGACAAAATTAGGCCCTAGTAAGACAACATAAAAAGAGAAGTTAGAACCTCTAGGCCAGTGGTTCTCAACCTTCCTAATGCCGCAACCCTTTCCTACAGTTCCTCATGTGGTGGTGACCCCCAACCATAACATTATTTTTGTCGCTACTTCATCACTGTCATTTTGCTACTGTGATGAATCGGGTGACCCCTGTGAAAGGGTCGTTCGACCCCCAAAGGGGTCGCGACCCACAGGCTGAGAACCGCTGCTCTAGAGAGTGCTGCCCACTCCCTTCTGGGGACATTTGGGCCACCCCAACCCTGTCTCGAAGGAGCTGGGTGTCTGGCCTCAGGATGCTGTGAAGGCTCCCAGGTTCCCTCAATGTCTGCTCCCTGCCTCACACCCATGGGTGCGAGGCACCTTCCCAGACAATCACCAGCTCTCCTGAGGCCGACTCTACCATGAGGGAGCCCTGGCCCTAAGGGATTTGGGTCCTTGGGGGAGGAGACAATCCTGCGTTTGAGTCCTGCCTCCACCACTTGCCCACCCTGTGACTTAAGCCCCACATCCTCAGCTACAAAAAAAAAAAAAAAGGTAGTTAGGATGATTTCTTCTTTGCATGGAAGTTCAAGGAAAATCATCTCAGCAGAACACATGGCACTGGGTGGGGGCGCAGCTAGTATTCGTGGAACCTGTTGGATGTCATCGCAGATCAAAGACATGTTCTCTGCCCCTCAGGGCCCTCCCGGCTCCCCACTCCCCATCCCCCCCGGAGTCCCATGAGAGGGGCAGGTGTGCCTGCAGTTGGGGGTACCCAGGGAAGCTGGAACGCAAGCCCCATGGGCAGAGGAGGAGAAACATCAGGAGCCAGAGCCAGAGGCCCCCTGAAGCTGCAGCTGGAGCCTGCCACCTCCCTGTCCTGTGCCGTGGGCCCGCAAAGGCCTCTGTGCTCGATGCCGATGGACCCCGAGGAAGAAAAATCTAGCTGTGTTCTGGTGTGGGAGTCGCCTCCTCTCTTGCTAAAAGCCCTGCTACCCACCCCCACCCCCTCAAGTGCTCAGCCACCCACTGAAGTCCTCAACCACTGCAACCACCACAGGAAATGATTTTGCATCCAGCCACGCTTGAGAGCTAGCAGGCCCGCCCAGCCCTGCTGACTGCTTGGGGGGAGAGGGGCTGGGGAGCAATGTGGGTGATGGGCTCCAGTGTTCACTCACCGTCCCAGCAGTATCCACGCTGGTACCACTTGGCCAGGCTGTAGCCGAGGATGGACACAAGCAGCAGTGACAGCCCCACCCCAAGGATCAGGCCCAAGGTGCTGATGGAGTCCTCCCCTGCAGGGAGAGACAGCATCCTTTACGGCTGCACAGAATGTCCTGCAGCCATGACCCCGCACCCGACACCAACCAGCAGCACCGTGGTCCAATCTCTTCTCCTCCCTCCCACTGCCACTCAGACTTGCTGTCCCCTGGGCATCCTGATCGGAGTTGGCGAGTTCAGCTCCCCCATCCCAAGATGTGAATGCCTGATGCCTCATTTTCATGTCGGCGGAGGCAGGATCTGGTTATCCAAGCGGAGGCAGGATCTGGTTATCCAAGGTGACTGTCCTGTCACCTTGAACTCCTGTGACCTCATCTATGGCAGAATAAAACTGTGACCCGTGGATTGTCAATGACTGCTTTTTGTCAGAAGAGTCTCTGGGCAGATCCAAAGTTGTAACCTTTGGGCTAACCTTTGGGTTAGCTGTCAAGTACATTAACCACTTGGATCACTGGGGACTCCGATCCAAAGTAATCGTCCTCTGGTACTAAAGACAGCTTGGGACTGGGAAGCCCACCCTTGCAAAGGCAACGAGCCATTCTGTTTGTTGCCTATTTGAGGAAGAGCCGATATGGTCTAGACGCAGAGGCAGCCCAGTGATCAGGAATGGAGGCCCGGGGAGTCCCAGGGAATAGAGACAAGCATCCTGGTATCCTCTCCCCAAAGCCTCCTTTTGTTCGGTGTGAGGGGAGTTAGTCCTCGGGCTCTCTCTGCCGCTTATATTCACCACCCTGACCTTTTTGTGGTATAAGTTCTTAGCTCAGCTTATATTTTGTTTGTAAAGTCAAACCAGCGAGAGAGAGAGAGAGAGAGAGAGAGAGAGAGAGAGAGAGAGAGGCTTTGCAAGGAGATGAGCTGAGGGAGAAGCAGACGCAGAAAGGGAGCTCCGGGTCCTAACTAAGGAAGAGGCTGGAGATGGCCGTGTCATGGAGAAAACCACTGTGTCAGAGGTGAACAGCCCCCTTCTGCCCAGTGAGATGCCAGGAAGGGTAGAAGACCGGAATGACTTCTCATCTACCCAGCCTGCTGTCCTGGGGCTCCAGGAGAGTCGTCAAAAGGCTGGGGAAGTGCAGTGGTTAGAGGACTGTCTTGTGTCCATCGCTTGCAAAGTGTGGGGACCAGTACATATCTTTACCTCATTCAACTTCGATGTTCTTCTAGTATAACTTTTCAGACAGCCTAGGAAGAGAAAATTGGCACTCCACTTCTGAAAACGTCATCACTGAAAACCATTAGGAAGAGCAATGGGATGTTGTCTGTTACAGAGCCAGAAGATGAGCCCTTCTAGCTGAAGTTCCTCACAATACGACTGGGAAGAGCTACCTCCTCAGAGTCGAGTACCCTCTAGGCCACGGTTGGAGCCAAGCTTCCAGGACCTGTGTTTGCTGATGTGGCACAACTCAAAGTGAGCTAGCTGCAAACATCCATTCATCCTCAGAATGTGGAATATCTGCACTACGAGTGAAGGAACTTTGAAGTTGTCAGAAATGAAGCAGAATGTATAAAGATGTCTATCCTAGGCATGAGTAAGCAGAAATGGACTGATATCGGCCACTTTGAAACAATTTTATGGTTATAAGTCAGAATGACAAATTTAAGAGGAATAATGTTGTATTCATGGGCAAAAAATCAAACATTTCAAAATCTATCCTGAAGTATAATGCTGTGATAGAATAGTGTCTATATGCCTACAAGGAAGAGCAGTTAATCAATCCCTAATGACAGAGATGGGAATAAAACTGAATATTTCTACCAACTTCTGGTAGTCTGAAATTGATAAAACATGGAATCAAGATGCACTGATAAACACTGGTGTTTGGAATGCAAAAGTTGGAAAAACATGGCATTGGTGACAGCAATGACACCGAAGATAACATTTTGCAAGACTAGCAACTTATTCATCACAGATTTTTTTGGTCAACAAGAGAAACGGTGACTGACTAGCACCAGGCTTCAGCAGATGGCGTGCAGTGGACAAACAGACTACATTGTGGAGAGGGGTCACCACCCTCATGGCCGGGGAGCAGATCGCCAATGGTACACATGCAAGCTCAAGAAGACACTCCAAAGAAGCCCCCAAGAGCCCCCAAATACAACCCTTCCCACTTGAAGGCAGAGATGGTCTCAAGAACAGGTTTGATGCATCGAACCCTGCAGACGAGACAAGCTGGGGGCTGACATCAAAGACATCCCACACGAAGACCCGAAATGTGCTTGTCAAGGTCAGGAAAGACGAAGCCGGATGTCACAACTCTGAAATCCCTCTCGAAAGTCCAGTGCCTAGAGCAGGAGGGAGAAACCCCAGTGTCCTAGAACTAAGCAGATGGCAAGCCACTGCTTAAGAAGACAAAGTACGGTGTAGACTCGGGTACAAGCCGAGTTTTCCAGCACATTTTCTCTGCACTTTTTGTGGTAAAAGTAGGTGCCTCGGCTGATATTCGGGTCGGCTTATACTCGAGTATCTACGGTATGATGATGACGTCGGCAAAGACCCGTGGATAGAAAACCCAAAGGGGAGAACGTGCGGTTGGCCTTCTCAGACTGAAAGAGCTCAAGAAAAAAGCCAAGCCAAGAACGGTGATATTGAGGGATTCTAGGGATTCTGGGAAACATCGAAAGAATGTGGAAGGAATACACAGTCACTGTACGAAAAGTCAGACTCAACATCAAGTTTTCGTGAAGTTGGTACCGAAAAGGGAGTGGTCAGTGTCCAACCCTGTCACGAGGAAACCTATGATGAAGAGCAGGTGGTGCTGAAGGATGAAGCCCAAGCTGCACTGAAGGCATTAGCAAAACACAGGGCTCCAGGGATTAATGGAGCGCCCGTTGAAATCGTTCAAGGAGCTGATCTCACACCGGAGGTGCTCACTCATCTACGCCAATGCGTTTGGAAGACAGCTACCTGGCCAACTGACTGGAAGAGACTACAGTTGTACCCATTCCTGAGAAAGGGGACCCAATCCAATACAGAATTATTTAACAACAGCATTGCTATCAGGCACAAATAAAATGTTGCCAACGATGATCCAGAAATGGTTATAAAGAGCTGCTGGGTAGTCAAGCCAACTTCAGCAGAGGACAGGAATGGTGCATGTCCCTAAGGGTATCAGATCCTTGCTGAAAGGAGAGCATACCAGGGGGGGAGTGTATCTTTTGACTATGCTGAGACATTTGATTCTGCGAGTCATAAAAAGTTATGAATAATTGGGGGTGGGGAGGAATTTCAGAAGACTTACATCGACCAAGAGACAGTTATTTAAACAAAACGAGGGAATCATGTATGGTTTAAAAATCAGGAAATGTATGACCATATCCCGAGCCAACATCCAAGAAGCTGGACTACCCCAAGAAGAACACGGCAGTGTGCAGGCGACCCAGCCCTACCATGCCGACTCATGGAGATCAGAGACCACAGACTTCAGGATCGGTGGAACCTCAGCATAAAGCAAGCGAAATTCCTCACCACCGGGACGCTACGCAGTATCACAACAAACGGAGGTAGGAATTTCACTTTACTTAGATTCCCAATCAACATCCAGGGAAACAGCTGTCTGGAAACCAAACAACATATTGCACTGGACAAATCTGCTGCAAACACCTCTTTAAAGTGCTAAAAAGCCAAGACTAAGGTGCACCTGAGCCAAGCCACAGCATTCTCTAGGGCCTCATCTGCATGCAAAACCTGGGCAGTGGAGAAAGAAGACTGCATACGTACTGTATTTTAATGATGGTATTGACCCCCAAAAAATGTTCAATGGACTGTATTACCTTCCAGGTGAACAAACAACTATGCTATAGAAGAAGCACAACCAGAATATGCTCCTTAGAAGCAAGGATGATGACACTTCACTTACTCTGGACATGTTGCCAGGAGGGACAGTCCCCGAGGGCATCCTGCTCGACAAAGAAGGTCACTGAAAAGGAGGAAGAGCCACAGATGCACGCTGCGGCTGCAATAAGGAGTTCAAACCTAGGAACAGCTGTGAGGGTGACACGGGACTGCGTCTAAAAATATAACATATATCGAATATATAGACTATAATGTTCTCAGTGTAAATCCACAAGTCGACATCCTAGCCCCTCCAAATGATCCAACAAGTTCGTAATTCCCCCCTTTGCTCTGCTACTGAAATGCTGCCAGAGCCAGAAGAGAGGCTCCTAGTCAAGGCATGTCTGGTCTCATTCAGCAGATGTTCTGACGGGCGGACTGGACTGTGGTTATCAAAAGCATCTGTCAGACATCACTCTGCCAGGAAGGAGGCATGGTCATGTCTGCCCCCACTAAAAAAAACAGTCTACTAAAGCAGTGGGTCTCAACCTTCCTCATGCCGCAGCCCTTTCATACAGTTCCTCATGTTGTGGTGACCCCCAACCATAAAATTATTTTTGTTGCTACTTCGTAACTGTCATTTTGCTACTGTTAAGAATCGTCATGTAAATATCTGATATACAGGATATATTTTCATTGTTACAAATTGAACATAATTAAAGCATAGTGATTCATCACAAAACAATATATAATTATATATTGTGACATATTTATTTCTAATGACAGATAAATGAAATTTTGTCTTGAAGCATGGTGTCGCATAGGTAACAGTCTTTACACCAGGTACTCCTTTGTGGGCGTATCTGCACATAGGTAGACCCGCCTGGAGACGGATAGAGGAGCAGTGTCTTGATTCCTAAGAGCATCGGAAATATGTGCTTTCCAATGGTCTTAGGCGACCCCTGTGAAAGGGTCGTTCGACCCCCAAAGGGGTGGCAGCCCACAGGTTGAGAACCGCTGTCCTAAAGGGCTTCTGAGACTGCACATTTTTATAGGAACAGACAATCGTTCTTTTGTGAAGGAGATGGTAGTTTGAACCACCAACCTTGCAGTTAGCAGCCCAACACATCACTTCTGTCCCACCAAACCACACCCCAAACCAAACCAACGACCTTATTGCCGTCAAGTCAGTTCCCACTCAGAGTGGCACTGTAGGACAGGGCAGAACTGCCAATGTGCCTTTCCAAGACGGTCACTCTTTAGGAGAGCCAATATAACTAGTTTTTAAAAGTATTTTTAAAAAGAAGCCTCGTCTTATTCCCACAGGGATCTTTAAAAAGCCTGGAAGAAATTAAACTGTTTCCAAGTAACTTAACTGCTTCCCAGAATATTTGTAAGCATACAAAAAAATCCACCACTAAACAAGATACACTTCACAATGGTTGGCATCCAGT